GTCACCTTGATGGCTTTTGGTCAACTTGAGGTGGCCCCTCCCTGGGCATCAGGGGCCCCCTGACCCGGCGGCGTCCCCGCAGGAGGATCTCCTTCAAGGGGTCCCTGTCGGAGGCGCGGGTGCGGGAGAGCAGCCTGGAGCTGCTGAAGGGCTACCTGGGGGACATCGTCGATGCCATCGTGGGCTCGGTGGAGAAGTGTCCCCTTCTCATGAGGGTGGCCTTCAAGCAGCTCCGCAGGCGGGTGGAGGAGAGGTTCCCCTCAGTGCAGCACGAGGTGGGGCAGGCAGCAGGGCCAGGGCTGGGGGTCTGCACACCGCTGGGGCCACCGGCCCGAGCCCTGAGCTGTTCCTGTCCCCGGCCAGGAGGTGCGGTACTTCTCCATCAGTGGGTTTCTCTTCCTCCGCTTCTTCGCCCCCGCCGTCCTCACCCCGAAGCTCTTCAGTCTCCGGGAGCAGCATGCTGACCCCCGCACCAGCCGCACGCTCCTGCTGCTCGCCAAGGTGCAGGGAGCCCGGGGAGAGACGGGGTCTCTGGGGAGGGACAGGGATGCTGGGGAGGGACAGGGATGCCGGGGAAGGATGCGGACCACTGGGAGAGATGGGGAACCTGGGGAAGGACAAGGATACGGGGGAGGGGTGGGGACCCTGGGGAGGGACAGGGGTCCCAAGGAAGGATGGGGAGCCCAGGGAGGGATGGGGAGCCCAGGGAGGGGCCCCACAAAGGACAGAGACTTCAGGGAGGGATGCGGACCCTGTGAAGAGATCCATATGGAATGGGGATGCCAGGGAGACCCTGAGGAGGGATGGGGACCCAGGGGAGGGATGGGGAACCTGGGGAGGGACAGGAGCCCAGGGAATAATGGGGACCCCAAGGAGGGCAGAGCCATGGCTGGCCCCTTCCCACGCCGCCTGAGGCCAGCCCTGCTGGTCACAGGGCCATGCCACCACACATTGGGCACAGCGCAAGAGCCAGCCTGGGGCAGCAGTTGGGTCCCATCACCCCCTGGGCTGCTCCACTTTTCCATTTCCCCCCCCAATTCCCAAGCCCATGGGGTTCAGGGGAGCAGCTGTGGGGGGTACGGCAGGGGGGGACCCCCTGGGCTGCTCCACTTTTCCATTTCCCCCCCCAATTCCCAAGCCCATGGGGTTCAGGGGAGCAGCTGTGGGGGGTACGGCAGCGTGAGCCCTTCCCCACATGGGGCAGGCGCTGCAGAGCATCGGCAACCTGGGGCTGCAGCCAGGGCAGGGCAAGGAGCCATGGATGGCCCCGCTGCACGCCGTCCTGCTGCCCAGCGTCACCCGCGTCAAAGCCTTCCTGGACGGCCTGGTTGCTGTGGAGAGCGCCGAGGGTGAGCAGGCACACGGGGGGGCACGGGGGGCACCGCTGGTGCTGGATCCAGCCATGCCAGTGCCCAGCACGGAGGGGTGGCACCATCCCTGCTGTCCCCGGCATCCTGGGAGCATCCCCGGGGAGGGGGACCCGCTTGGTGCCATGCAGATGCTGCCAGGATGGCTGGGGACAGGGAGCCTTGGGCTGGGGGAGGCGGTGGCACTTGAAGTGACGCTGCTGCCTCCCTGCCCGTCTGTGCCACGGCTGCAGCAGGCGAGGGGCCAGTGCTGCCGGGACTTTTTTGCCCCTCGGCCACCATCAAGGAGGGGTACCTGCACACACGCACGGCGGGGGGGCCCGCCCTGCTGCCCCGCTTTGCCTTCAAGAAAAGGTATTTCTGGCTCAGCAGCGAGGCCCTGACCTACTCCAAGTCCCCTGAGTGGCAGGTGGGTGCTGCCCGTGACCCCCACCCCATGCCCGGTGCCCGGGCAGGGGGTGTGGGTGCAGTGAATTGTGGTGTTTCGGGGTCCCCAGGTGCGCTGCTCCATCCCCGTGCCACAGATGCGGGCGGTGGAGCGGGTGGATGAGGGCACCTTCCAGCACCCCCATGTCATGCAGATTGTGGCGCAGGATGGTGCCGGGCAGCTCCACACCACCTACATCCAGTGCAAGGTGAGTACCC